TGCTGGTTATATGTCATATTTTAATCTATATGCCATAAAGCTTATTAGATTGGAAAATAAATCACAGGCACTGAGACTACTTATTACTATAAATCAAAAGTAAATTCTGCTGTTTTATGTATGAAAACACAACAATATAAAGGTGTTCCAGGAAAGAAAGCCAGGGCTAGGACTTATTCACAAAGCCCCACTGGAGATAAAAGGATCATTAAATCAGTAAGCGATCTCAGCTGATTTAACGTGGTTCAAGTTAGTCCTGCCTCCTGACAAGGAATGCAGTTCTGACTAGGAAGAGAAAAAAAGAAATGAGGAAAAACAACCTCATAACCAGACACTATATCCAGAGAAAGACTGACTGGGAATGTATTTGTATAAAAAAAAAAAGTGTTTCTGCTACAAAAGCTGTTCTTTAGGTAAGACATTATCAAACCATCTTGTACTTAAACAACTTTTTAGGCATGTTTGAAGCCACTGCTGTAAACTCAAAGATTGTATCTGCAGCACTGAGTGCTATCTACATTACAACGGGAGCAAAAGCAAGTTTCAGAGCACTACGTATGTCCAGCCCAGGAAAAGTTTAGCTGTAAGTATCTAAGTAACCCTCTGATTGCAGGACATGTGCACAGTACAATAATGCAGCTTTAATATGGGAAGGAATATTTGATGATTAATTATTTACATCACGAGTTTAATACATTTTAAATGCAACCTAATTATTTGCTGAGACATCAACAGGGGAAAAGGAGTTCTCATTCTTTATATTCCATCTCTAGTGCCAGTTTTGCCTGTTTCTTCAAATTAAATTAAATTCTAACAGCCTCTCTTGACTGTAACAGACTGATCTTAGTAATGGTGTTGATCTGCAAGTCCACGGTTATGCTGGAAAGTGACAGGCCTATCACTGATCACTCACCAGCACAGCAGACACCTGGCAGGAACAGCACAACCAAGAACTCAAGGGTTACTGTGTGTAATACTTGTTCCTGTAAATGCCAAATGCTACTCAAGAATTCTTTTATCTCACCTTATCTTCTCTTTGAAAGAAAAGGAAACGTGTAATCAAGTGATAAAATAATGGGTTCCCATGTTTAATGATAGTGATAAAATTAACTTACAGTCTGGTTTTAGACATCTGGTTGGTCATAGGAAATTTTGTTAACTGTGAAAATAAACCAGTGTAAGTTGTAGAACACCCTCTCTCCCAAACTCCTTTGTGCAAGAGATTAAGTAGATGAAAAATCAGAACCCTGAACGAGAAACACAGGAACATGCTGTTCTTTTTTCCATCTTTTTAACCATGCTTTTGAGACATTCATTTAGCATTACAAATACCATTCCAACATTTACCTACCAACATTTGAAATGCATATTGCAGTATATGCTTTTCCCTGGCTGGAACATACTTGGAATATACACAAAATTAGTAAAAGTCTGTGACAAGAAAGAAGGGCTGAGAGAAGATGTCTACGTAAGATTAAGTTTCCAAGAAAGGGCAGAATGGATTTTGTTGAGTTTCAAAGTAAGTAAGTATAGCAACACATCACCTTGCAGGACTAACTCCAAACATGTATGTGTTATACTGATGAAAATCTCCTAAAGCACCATCCATGAGGGAAGTGTTAGAGGAGCCATACAATCAGAGAGATCAAAATATTCCTGATACACTACTAAGAGATAAAAATTGAACGGTTTACACAGCTCTAAACATGTCCTTTATACTTCACTAGCACCATTAAAAATATCACTTATATATTAACATACTCTAGTTATTTACAGAGCTAGGAAAATCAATAGGTGTTTCTGATGGATTGAGCTTTCTTTAGAGCCAAGATCATCAAAGTGTAAATTCAGCCCAAGCATTGCAAACCAGGCAGAAGGGCCTTCTCAGCATAAAGCCTCCTCAGACAAACATGCAGTGTTCAGAAAGGAGCAACAGGTCTGTTGATAGTCACATATAAGATCCGAGTCCTGGCTAGGCAGATGTAACATTACTATAGTGCTTTCACAACGATTTACCATCTTTAAAGCCTTTTTAAAAATTTAAACAAGACACGCAATCCACTTCTCAGTAAAAAGAAACGCAGTTCTAGAGCGCTGGGAAGCTTGCAGATGCTGCAGCAGCTGCGCGGGAAGGCCCGAGCGGGGCTGTTTGTGGGCGTTCACGGCAGCAGCCGTGAGGGGAAGCACCTGAGGGGCAGCCCGAGGGCCGAGGCTGCGGAAGGCTCGCTCCGACCGCCCGAGCGAGGCCCCTTTGTTAAAGCCCGCGTCGCTGTTCCGGAGCCGCGGGACGCCGGCACCCAGAGGTCTCTGCCCGAAACACCGTCCCGGGGCTCTGCCGGCCGTGCCAGCCGAGCCGAGCCGGCCCTGCTCGCGGTCCTGGTCGCCTCCCCTGCCGCCCTACCTGCTCGCCTCCCGGCCGCCGGAGCTCCCGCAGCCGCGTCACGCCGCACCTGCCCTTTTTTGGGCTCCGACCGTGTCTTTTCCGTCAAGGCAACATCACTTCCCGTACAGCCCGAGGTGGGGGCGGGCCGGGCGGCACCGCCCCGGCGTGTCCCGGCCCCGCCGCGGCCACCTGGGCGGGCTGAGCGGGGCCCGAGGGCAGCACCGCGCGGTGCTCAGCGGCATTAGCCGGGCTGGCTCCTCAGCCCTTCCCTCCCCATCTGCCTGAAAAATCTCGCGCCGTTTAGTAAGAATTCATGAGAGGCAGAACAGGTTTTGCAGAGAAAATCCGCGGTGCCTGGTTAATGCGCACCGCTGTGGGTTTAATGAGTTCTTCCTGCCGCCTGCTGGCTGCCTGCCTTCCCTCACGAGGCAAGCGTGCTCTTCACTCTCAGCAGTTGCCCAATAAAAGCTTGAAATCCAGCAGTCTCAAGAATTCATCAAGCAGAGTCTTAAGCTCAGTTGCATCAATAACCCTTTCCACCTGCAGTTCAGACCTTCTCTTTCTTGGGGCTTTTCAAATTCAACTGCCATCTTTATGGACAATTCCAGTCATTATATTTACAAACGAAGTGTCTACTACTAGACCTGAGCTACACCTCTTCAAAATAATGTTTTCAATACAAAGTGGTACTGTAAAGGAAGCTGCTGGAGTCACTGCAGCAGTTTATCAATGCAGTGTTTGCACTGAACTTTTGTGGCAATTTGTGGCATTTCCTCATAGAATCAGGGAATGGTTTGGATAGGAAGGGACCTTAAAGACCACCCAGTTCCAACCCCCTGTCATTGGCAGGGACACCTTCCACCAGACCAGGCTGCTCACAGCCCTGTCCAGCCTGGCCTTGAACAACTCCAGGGATGGGACAGCCACAGCTTCTCTGGGCAACATGGGCACCACTCTCACTGTAAAAGATTTCATCCTAATATCTTATCTAGACCTGCTCTCTTTCAGTTTAAAGCCACTGCCCATGTAATGTCATGTCCAAACTGCATTTACTGCACTCAGCTGCACTTCCCAGCCCACCTTCTACTGCTATCCTCCCACCACAGCTTCCATATCACTACCTCGGTTATCATATTGCTCCTGGCTTAAAATATAGACACCCAGACAACTGGTTTCTTCCCTCATTCTGTCCAAACAAGATTCTGTGTTAAAATCAAAACCTGGCATAAGTTTGTCCCAAGATCTCCTGGGTTTGGTTTCTTTTTAGATTTACTGAAGTCTTGACATATTTACTGACCTGGTTTCCCCAAGTATGAGATTCTGTTTGGTCAGATTAATCCACACCTATTCCAAGAGCCATGCTGTGTGCTAAACTACACACTGAGGCTCTTCTCCAAGTACAACCCATTTTTCAGGCAGATTTATCTATTTTATATCCACTGTAGCCTCACTCTGTCAGGAATGAAAGCTGTGTATATGTGCATGTGGTACGTGTGTGTGTGTACATATGGCCAGGACTGACTATAAGCTAAGGATGCCAAAGTTGGGTGCAGGTCCCTTCTCAGCCATTTGCACAACTGCTTTCCCAACCGAGCTGATATACTAAGAATTGAAACAGTGAGAAGCAGAGAAAAATGGTATTTATCACTTGGAGGATCAGATGAAAGGCAATCCAACAATACCCATGAAGCGTAATCACACAGCAGCAACTTTCTTTTTCGAGCTTCCTGATGTTATTTAAATTTAGATGTGAAACAGACCTTCAGACAATCAGAGCGTCATACATGATTCAAGATTCACGTCCCAGAGTCTAATACCAAACACACAGGCACGCAGCTGCAGCTCCAGCAGGCGGGGCGGGGTTCCACAGGCGGGTCTGGCGGGACGGCCCCGGCAGGTGACGGTGGCGCCGGCTCCGAGCGGCTCCACTGCCCACGACGGACGGGGCGTGCGAGGGCCGAGCTGCGAGGCGGTGCCGGGGAACGGCGCCGCACAACTCCCTCAGGGCCTCTTCTCGGGCGCGGCGTCCGGCGGCGGCGCGGCGGGGCCGTGTGGGGCCGCGGGAGGCTGGAAGAGCGGCCCATAGATG